GTCGAATAACATCATGAAATTGGAGGTGTATGTTTCGTTTTCGACAAAGTTACATTTTGTTGGCATCGATTGTCGTAGTTTGCAAAACAAAGCCGACCAAAGCGTCTATAAACGTACTATTGGGCGAGTTTCATAATTTGAGAGATTTTAGCAGTTTCGCTTGGGGGTAAACAATGTCTCCATGGGAGTGTCGGTGACCAGAATATAGTGACCAATACAAGCTCGACACCATTACTGTACTGGTCGTCCACTTTTCTTCCATCTATTCTCAGCTCGACTCAAAAAACGACCAATCGATTTTGAGTCGAATAGATAATCAGGCAGTGAGTCTGAATTCGATCGTTAAAAAAATCGAAGTTAAAACAGGTTATTTCTATTGTTTTGTAAAAGGGAGGTCTATTTTGTTATTGGCTAAAGAAAAGTTTAAATAAACCCGTTTCCCTTACCACCAATCACCCTCTGTCAGTCTACACTGACTCAATCTTCTTTGATTACTTGATTCCAGAACTGGAGTCTTCAGAGACGGATTCTGTCCATAACTCCTCACCCCTCCTCAGCTGGGTCCATTTTTAATGTATTCATACTGACTGTTTCCATCTGTAAGTGATTGCAGAATCGTCTGCCAGGATTGTGGAGGTTACTGAGATTTCATTGCTGTGGCGGGTATTCTTTTCCTTTCCAGTATCTCATGTGCCAACGCCAAGAAGCTCATTCGTCATTCTGATCGTGCATAGATTAACGTCGCATCCCAGAAAAACAAGAATTGAAAGCGTATCATTTTCACATCCTTTACCAAGCCCTTCAATTCTGTGTAGGTTACTTGTTAGTAACGTTTTTCAAAGCCCTCTCGTCAATTTTTGGGCATGTTGAGTTATTGGTTTCATCTTAAAGCTTGTTCACTTGTCTTTATTAGGATGAAAAAAAGGATCCATTTATCTTGAATACAAGTCGAGATATTTACTAAAGAAGGAGGTGGGGGTCACCAGTTTTCAGAGGTAAAATTAGTGAGAAAATGGCCGCCAAAGGTTAGTTATTTCCTTAGCTTTAGAGTCCGTGATAACTGAAAATTTACATTTTCTGTGTCTTTAATCAACGTTTTTCTGAACAATCCACACAGAAATGAGTTCTTTAACGGCACGAAAGGAGTTGAGCCTAAAAAACAAAAATTTAATAAAATTTCACAAACCTGCGGAAAAATGCAAGTTTCTTCATTTTGATTATTTTGACGAGAGCCTGATTCCACCACGCTTCCTCACCTATTACATCAAGAGTAAGTGTAATGTCATTGAAGATGTCAAATCGTTACCGGTAAGTACGTTACATAAGTAGGTCCAGACATGCTCCGTGATGTAGACTGGGACATAATAATGACTGTGTGTGCCCTCTTTTTGGTCTTTTTGGTCTTTTTGGTCTTTTTGGTCTTTTTGGTCTTTTTGGTCTTGGGGGTCATTAGATGCTTCTCTTTCGATTTGAGTGTTTGAGATTTCGTAATATCTTGGGGAAAAAGAGAGAATGAGGGAGAATGGGAGAGAGAGAGA